TACCACTTTGCCAATATTCAACTAAGCAGGCATTCATGAAACAGTGTATAGTTAAAAAGAAAAAATAGTCTAAATCAGCCAAAGAATCTGTTTTACCTCAATCGCTTTTCAGAAGCCTGGAAATCAGGAGACCTTGCTTTTGTTGAATAGTATTTTAAAAATATTTGCTATGGGCCGGCCCCGTGGCTTAGCGGTTAAGTGCGCGAGCTCTGCTGCTGGCGTCCCGGGTTCGGATCCTGGGCGCGCACCGACGCACCGCTTCTCCGGCCATGCTGAGGCTGCGTCCCACATACAGCAACTAGAAGGATGTACAACTATGACATACAACTATCTACTGGGGCTTTGGGGGAAAATTAATTAATTAATTAATTAAAAATATTTGCTATATCAAAAATATTGTTCAATGATCACTACTTAGAGCTTAGCTTACATTTCTTAATGGAAATTTTTCTTGGGATATGTAGGTTCACATGCAGTTATAAGCAATAATACAGAGAGATCTCACGTACTCGACCCATTTCCCCAATAGTAACGTCCTGTAAAATTATAGTACAATATCCCGACCAGGATATTGACATTCATTCAGTCCAATGATCTTACTTATTTGTGTGTGTGTGTGCATTTACTTCCACGTGACTTTATCACATGTGTGGATTTGCACATCCACTACCGCAGTGGAGACACTGAACAGTACCCTCATCAACACAGTCCATGGAACCTACCAGGCGGGAGGGCCTGCTATGCTCCAGGAGCTCGTAGGTGCTGGGGAGACCACAGTGAATGGTCTCACCTGGGCTTGGCTCTCTTAAAGTTTATGCTCCAATGAGGGGACAGACAAAAAGCAGGAAGACAAAGGGGTGTCAGATTGTAAGATGTACTATAAAAAAATAAAACATGCCCATTAAATTACTTTCTGTGGTGGGGCCTGAGTAAGGGAACTTTTTTTAATTGAGATATAATTGACATATATCATTATATTGGTTTCAGGGGTACAACACGTTGACAAAATAACCAATAATCAATCTATAGTAGAGAACGGAAGGGAGTTTTATTCGAGCCAAGCTGAGGACTAGCCCAGGAGTGCAGCCTTCACAAAGGAAGAAAGCACACCAGAGAAGTGTGGTTTTCAGCACCGTTATATCCCATTTCATAACAAAGAACATACATCAAGCATGACCGGGGTACATTCTTTCGAGGTTTCAAGGAGATATTTTGTTACAGATTAGAGGGTCAGCATGACTCTGGCATCAAGGGGAGGGAAACATCTTTCAAAGGATTACAAGAATTGGTGTGATAGGGAGGGAGGCATTCAACCTTATCGTCAAAGACTACATTCTCTACTGTAGGGTAACGATTAAGTACATTCTTTACTTTAGGGTAACAGTTAAAGCAGATGTGCATTGTATATTTGACAGGCCATAAGTCAGCTTCTCTGGTTCACGTAAAGTTCAGGCCAAATCAGGTTTAAATCAAAATGGCTTCCTCATATACCTCAATATATAAAAGAATTTCTTATATCAAACATATTGATTCAATATTTGTACATATTGTGAAATGATCACCACAATAATTCTAGTTAACATCTGTCATCATACATAGTTCCGAAAAAAAGTTTTTTCTCACGCTGAGTACTTTTAAGATCCACTCTCGGGGGCCGGACCGGCGGCTTAGCGGTTGAGTGTGCACACTCTGCTACTGGCGGCCCGGGTTTGGATCCCGGGCGCGCACTGAGGCACCGCTTCTCCAGCCATGCTGAGGCGGCATCCCACGTACAGCAACTAGAAGGATGTGCAACTATGACATACAACTATCTACTGGGGCTTTGGGGCAAAAAAAAAAAAGGAGGTGGATTGGCAATAGATGTTAGCTCAGAGCCAGTCTTCCTCAGCAAAAAGAGGAGGATTGGCATGGATGTTAGCTCAGGGCTGATCCTCCTCACAAAAAAAGAAAACAAAAGATCTACTCTCTTAGCAACTTTCAAACGTTATTAACTAGAGTCACCATGCCATACATGACACTCCCAGGACTTACTCATTTTAAAGTGGAAGCTTGTACCTTTTGAACACAGGAAATTTCTTAAAGCTCCCAGGCGAATCTAGAGGGCAGGCAGGATGGAGAAGCAGGCCCTTGGAGCACTGTCCCCACCTCTCTCTCTGGCTGGTCTCCTGTATTGTCCCTCTAGCTCACCCTGTCCCAGACACCCTGATGCTCTCCCGGCCTTTGGAATTGCTCTTCCTCCAAGCCTGGCTGCCGCTCCACCCCACTGAGGGGCCTGCACAAATGCCACCTCCTCAGAAAGGAGTGTGGGTTTTATTCCAACTGCTCAGGGTGTCACTTCTCTGTGGAGATGAGGAGCGGCGGTTAGAGGGAGCTTCCCAGGGACGCTAGCCACGGCCTTACAGCAGGACACATTTGGGAGGTGACCTCGACCCACACATCTTGGGTCTCCCAGGGGAGCGATTGCTAAAGTGTGGGTCCTGTACCCCTGGAGGTGGGGGTAACCTGACAGGGCTTTTTAGGTAGAGGAGGTAACAGTGAAATGCAAAGGAATAAAGCTTTCCCCTTCCCGTCCATCTGGCCGTGTCAGCGGGCTGTCCCTGCAGTGGTGTGCCTTTAACCCCTCTCCAACACTCTCTAATCCCCCCACCCGAACTTGGACAGAGAAGTCTCCACCCGGAGTTTGTTTTGTGTTTCTTTTACAGCTCCCTTGTGTTTACAGCAAGCAGCACTGTCCGTGGTGATGACATCACCAACTTCCCTCTGTCAAGAAAGCGATTTAAGAAGTTGATTTTAAAAACTATGGAATCAGTGAAAACCCAGGTGGTTCCATGATATGGTAATATTGTAACCGGGGTCCATGAATTGGATTCAGGCCTGCAGGCTGCTTAGATCTGTTCTCTTTTATAATTTTTATTTATTTATTTATTTTTTCCCCCAAAGCCCCAGTGGATAGTTGTATGTCATAGTTGCACATCCTTCTAGTTGCTGTATGTGGGACACGGCCTCAGCATGGCCGGAGAAGCGGTGTGTTGGTGCGCGCCTGGGATCCGAACCCAGGTCGCCAGGATCAGAGTGAGAGCACTTAACCGCTAAGCCACGGGGCCGGCCCAGATCTGTTCTTTTTTAAAGTTTGTTCTTTTCTGGAAGTTGGCTGGACTGTGGACGCAACTTAACTCACTACCCAAAGCTGAGTCCTGCTCTACCAGCAGGTTGGGGGCTTCCCTACCTAGTGGGTCAACAGCCAGCCAGGACAGGGGAATCTTGGTCCCCAAGGGCTTAGACAGGGCCCGCAGACTCAGGACCTGGTCGGCGAGCGGGGAGGTCACTCTCTTGCCCCTTCGCTGGAGTGCAGTCTCTGCCCCTAAGTCACCCAGAGCTGAGGCTCTCCAGCCCTGCTTCTTAAAGGGGGGGACGTGGGCCTCATCACGGCTCATCTTTCCAAAGCAGGAGACTTTTTGAAGAGCAATCTACCTGGCTATTTAAAATACTATTTTTAGATGAAAACAGATATGATGGAGCAGAATGCAACATTCATATGCTGTTTTAACCTAAAATGCAGAGCTTAAAACCCTGCCTCCAGATCCCAAAGGGATCCACATCCTCCGTCCTCTTAACTTTGGGGATGTGTTGGTGGACAATTTGAGAAACACTGCACTAGGACTGTTTCCTGTTCTAGGGCCAGGCTGGGGTGCTCTGGAAGCTGTGAGAAAATGTGTACAAAGCACTTGGCACACTGAGAATCCTTAACGTACTATTTCTGTTATTCCCCCTTCCCCATGACCTTGCAAATGTCTACTCAGAGGGAGGGCCACGAGGACCCAAGGCCTGGTCTCTGTAAGGGGCTCTCAGGGTTCATCTGAGTTCCAATTCTGGCTCCTGTTCAGGGACCCTGCGATTCACATCTGAAATCAAAGGATCGGCAGGCAAAGATCTCAAACTTTGGAGAGGAAAACCGGTGAAGTCTCAAAGCACGGAAATGATATCTCAACTAATATTAAGCCACCTTGCTCTGTGCAACCTCCATTTGTCATTCTTGTCTTGAGCCAAACATACCTCCCCTTGACCGCCATCTCTATCTTCACGCTATTGAACCTGAATTTGACCCTGTCAAGAACTTTAGCCCAACCTTCCCTGGTTCATTCACCCTCACAATTTACAAGTGGCACTGCCTCAATCTTTGGTCCTCAAATGTCAACAGGTAACAGCTGTCACTCCTTCCAATATTTATTCAGCAACTACCGTGTGTCTGACCTTGTGGATTACAAAGATGAGCAATTTATTCATCAGCTGGTGGCCTGGTACAGTACCTCGAGATAATGATCACATTTCTGTAGCAAGCAGCAATGGGAGGTGTCTACTTTTTTTTTTTTATAATTTTATTTATTTTTCCCCCAAAGCCCCAGTAGATAGTTGTATGTCATAGCTGCACATCCTTCTAGTTGCTGTACGTGGGACGTGGCCTCAGCATGGCCGGACAAGCGGTGCGTCAGTGCGCGCCCGGGATCCGAACCCAGGCCGCCAGTAGCGGAGCGCGCGCACTTAACCGCTAAGCCACGGGGCCGGCCCAGAAGGTGCCTACTCTTGATGGGAAGAGAGAACATGGGGTAAGCTGGCCTCAGCAATACCATCTTGAGTCTCTGAGGGTAAGGTAGCGTTGGGCAGGCCTGCTGGGGGGAGGAGGGCAGAGCCACAGCAGCAGTGCAGAGCTCAGGATGTCCAGAGCCCAGAATACTAAGAGGAGCAGGAGCCATGTGGCCATTGTGAGCTGTATTTGGAAATGTGTGACTGCATGTGTTAAAATGTTTAGAACGACTCTTGCAGGCTGTCAGTGACTCAAGGCCATTAAGCCAGAGAAATGGCGCAGGCAGACTAATGGCCTGGACTAGGGCACGGGCGGTTGACAGAGATTAAGGAAGATTTAGGAGTAGCACAGTCACTTTGGGAATAGAGCTGTGTTATTTAAGGACTAGGCAAAAATCAAAACCACTTTTTAATTTTTTAAATCAAACATTTTATTTCCACGTAACAAGCGCAAAAAACTCCCAAACACTTTAACAATACAATTAACGCAGTTAAGAAGTCAATTATATACTACTCAAAGCCCCAAAAGGTCAATCAGCTTAACGTTCCAAACATTTCCAGACGTGGTTTTTCAAAGCTACCTTTGGTTTTTGGAAAAACCAGTATGGAAGTCAATGTACATTGAATGCATTGAACAACATCTGCTCATATTAAGCTGTCCAACAACATCAGCTTACACCTGGCAAGTTGGAGCATGATTTGAAGTCATACACTGAAAGACACACACAGGTTCTGCCCCAGAGCTCCTGCAGTGAGGAGTCAGGGCCGTGAAGGGGGAAGAAAAAGGCCAGTCCAGGTTGTGGCATTTCTCATTTTGTAACAGAGGTATGAGAGTTTAACACTAGAACACTGTCAAGTCATTAAGCTTCATGTTCCAAATGGTCTCTTGCTGAGGCTTGAGATGGGCACAAATGGTGGGGAAGATGAAGTCACAGAAGAGTTTTGAGCAACAAGATCCCAAAGATGCTCAAAGAGGGTAGGAAGGAGCAAGCTACAGTTTCCCATTGTTCTCACATTATTTCAGGGTGAAATTGTGGATAAGTTCAGATAAAATGTTCAAATATTTGCTTAGACTTCTAATCAGTTGCTCTATGAGAACCCTCATACACAGCAACTTTGAAAGTTCCATTATAAAAAAGAGCGTACAAATAAATTCACAAAAAAGACAATTGATGTTGAGCAGCCAAAAAGTCATGGTTTATTATATCTGAAGAAATTTCATAATTCAAACACAACCAAACTGTACATTTTACAATCACATTCTATTTGTAAACAGTTAAAAGCCACTGACTTCTTTTGCATCTTAGGACACAAACAGTTAGAATCAAGGCAATGAAATGATGGCAAATTCTGTACTGTTAAAATTTTTACCCTTGTTTAGTCTCTCTTCTTTGACTAAGCAAGCATTATAATACCTTTTGTGGGCAAAAAAAGGGGGGAAGAGAGAAAGAAATTTTAAAAATGGTGTAACTCGTTAGTTTGCAACAACATTTAAAATTTTCTTTATACAACGAACAATTCTGTAAGCCCAATACCTTGGTTACAGTATGCATAGTTACTGAATTCGGCTTTAAGGTACAACAGTTAAACATTAACACAGTCACAAGAGAGCAGAAACATATAGAGCCACTTGATGGGATTACAAAAAATTATTACCTATTGATTATTAGCAAACCATCATCACTCACTAATAAAAAGACAGCATCTGAAAGCAGAATGTCAAACTCCAGCTTCAAGCATTTTTTTGTTTTTTCTTTTTTTTGGCAGAGAAAATTCTTTAACAGAGCAATATGTAGTATCAGTGCTAAAAGTTGGGGTTTTTCTTTTTATCCTATAAGAAACTACAAGGAGTTTTTTTTACTGGGGAACTGGTTTTCCTGAGAACCATGCTCTTTGATTTAGGACAGGAATAGAAAAACAAAAGAACATGGCCAAATGCTGCTCCTTTTTCCCAGAGATAGAAAGCATCTTTTAAGTCATCCTCCATTTTTTTTTTTTGTCTTTTAAATTTTTTTTAAATGATGGAAGAGTAAACATTTTTTTTTCTCAAAAAACAAACAAAAAAATCTGTAAACAAGAAGGTTCAACGTGGGAACCTTCAAAACAAAATGGAAAGCCTATTCAAAGTGCAGGGCCCGTCCTGGGTGGCAGGTGGGCTGCAAGTCACAGCTGTGGCCACAGTTTTTCAAACTGCAGAGCGAAAATTCTTTAGTTTTATAACATGAAAAAACTGGTGCAATACTTTCAGTTATAGTCCTAAGTCAGTATCATAACTCGATCTTTTAAACTCCACGATACCACAATAAGGTAGGCAAACATCAAGGCATAGTAGAGAGCGCACACCTTTTAAGAACATCCTTGAGTAAACATTTACACTGGAACAGCTGCCCCCCCATATTGCCGATTAGACGGAGAGAACATCATTCAGTGCAAAGTTAAAAGCTCATACATTATCAGCCAAAAAAAATGGTTTAGCAAAAAAAAAAAAAAAAAAGAAAGAAAAGAAAAAAAGGGGCAAGAAGATAGGAGGGGAAAAACAAAAAAAAAAGGAACCCAAAGGCTAAACATGATGAATATACACAAGTGAGCTCGTTCTATACGGTTTAGCATGTATGGCGCTATTTGGGAGTGTAAATAGATAGATACCTTTTCACATTATAATATTGGCCTGCATGATTCAAGTATTCAAACTGATATGTTTCAGGGAAAACAAAGTGGAAAATGTGCAGAGAATAGCTGTTCCCACAGGTGGCCCCTGGCTGCAGGCGGCGAGCCCAACTTAGTGCTCCTTTCTTTTGCATCTTGAGGTCACAGTTCATGAGTCGACACCTACACTGTTACATGGACTCTCCACCCCCACCCAGGTGGTCAACAGAAAGAAAAGCATTAATGGGGGATGGGCTGCTAATTCCCCGGGGGTCGCTGCTGCTTGGAGGACCCCAGAGGCTTGTGGAATAATGTGGGGTCCCCCAGAGTGAAGTGCCGTGAAGGTCTCCACAGTTAGTTCCCGACAGCCCAGCACCATTCCAGTGATTGAGATCGGTCCGGCTGGAGAATGAGTGGGAACAGTCGAGGGAGCCCAGCCGGCTCTGGCTGGACCCAAGAGACTGCCAGCCAGGAGAAGGGGTCAGAGACTGACTTTGTGCAAAGAAACGACTGATCTCCTCTTCACTGGCAAACTCAGCAAGAATAGTAGTGTTCCCCAATACACACCTAGAGGAGAGAGACACAAGCAGGCATGGTGAAGACTCAGGAGATCTGAAGGGTTTTACTGATTCAAAACTGAGGGTGAGACTCAGAGAGGGTGGAGGTGGAGAGGGAGGGGAGAACACCCAAGCATGCCCTCCCCTCAGGGTGCATGCCCGAGGTGCACCACAGGGCGGGGCACGCCACCCAGAGCGAACCTCCCCTGTGAGTGCAGCTGTGGCATCAAGATCACGTCTTTTTGTCTCCTACAGGCAATTCAAGGGATTTTCTTTTTTTTTTTTAAACATTTATATAATTTTATTTATTTATTTTTTTCCCCAAAAGCCCCAGTAGACAGCTCATAGCTGCACATCCTTCTAGTTGCTGCACGTGGGACGTGGCCTCAGCATGGCTGGAGAAGCGGTGTGTCGTTGCGCGCCCGGGATCCGAACCCGGGCCGCCAGCAGCGGAGCGCACGCACTTAACCGCTAAGCCACGGGGCCAGCCCATCAAGGGATTTTCTTTTCTTTTTTTTTGTGAGGAAGATCAGCCCTGAACTAACATCCATGCCAATCCTCCTCTTTTTGCTGAGGAAGACTGGCCCTGGGCTAACAGCCGTGCCCATCTTCCTCTACTTTGTATGGGATGCTGCCGCAGCATGGCCTGACAAGCAGTGCGTCGGTGCACACCAGCAGCGGAGTGCGCACACTTAACCGCTACGCCACGGGGCGGCCCCTCAAGGGATTTTTCTAGGGCCATTCTGACAAAGAATGATGCTACCCCTTATGAGTATCAACCTTGGAACCGAAGATAGAGTGAGGCTGCTGCTGTCACGAGGCGCTCTCACCGCACGACCCTGTGTGCTGGCCTAGAGATGGTGCAGTGCCATCAGCTGTACTTTCACACACAAGGGAACCCCAAATGAGGGAACCCCAAACTCTTACAATCATGAGGGCTTTTTCCAGGTGTCACACACAGAATGGCCAACTTACATGTGCAGAGACTTTTGTGCCTTCACTACCTCTTCTTTTGAACTGTAACGGACCAAAGCATTTCCATGTGGGAGGTTCAGGTGGAATGTTATCAGTGGGCCATGCTGCATGCACAGAGTACGCAGAGTTGAGCCATCAATCTAGGAAACAGAGTGTAGGGAATCGCCAATTAGAGGCACCGTCTGGGGGCCACCCCGGGAGGTTGTCCCGGCTGGGACTCTGGTCCTTTCTCTCTCGCCCAAGGTTCTTCACTCCTGGTGCCACTCTTCTCTGGGACTCACTGCGGTGATGGGGTACAGTGCCCCCCTCCCCACCTCCACTGGTCCCAGAGCCATACCTCTGTGGCCTCTAGACTCCTGGACATTCCCCCGATCCCCAATTCCTTAGTTAGCCAGTGCCCTGTTGTGGCTTCATGTCTTCTCTCTTCCCTGCCCTGAGGACAGGATTCATCAAGGCACTGCTCCCTGGGGGAGGAGGGGGGCGGGCTCTTAACATCCAGCCTCCAGAGGAGGGAGTGGTCCAGGGACTAAGAAAATGTCCTAATCTAAAAGGGCAGACCAGGGTTTCTCCAAGTGCAAATACAAGGACGATCTGCATCAAATTCATCTGAACGCCCTTATAAAAATGCAGATCCCTGATCCTAGCCCAGACCACTAAATCGGTCCTTGGGGTGAGACCTGGGAATCTGTATTTTTGGTCGGCTCTTGTGCACATTTTACAGTGTAAAAACCACTGAATCAGACCACAGCCTGCCTGAGCCATCTACAGACCATCCTCTGCCCAGCCTTGACATCTACTTAGTACCACTTGGTAGGCCTGGGTAGCACTCATCTCAAACTTAACACCGGAAACCTTCACTCCCATGCTACCTGGCGTATCCACACAAACACGGATACCTGGTGTTCTTACCTGAGGTGTAAGGTTTTTTAGAACAAGCCAATTTGTTATTCTCCCTGAGCTGCTCTCACCCCAGCTGGAACCTAACAAGGAAGAAAAAGGGCAAGTCAGTTTCCAAGACTGTGGCCTGAATGACTGTTTAGGATAAACACATCCCGGTCAAATTACAGGTATTCAGGGGGATCGTGTGGGCTCTTGGCTTCCTTCTCTGACTTCTTACTTACCTGCACTTCTACCTGGGGTACTTTCTCCCTAGGCCCAGAAGGCTCACATGGAAGGCTAGTGAGCCACAAAAGGCCATATCTCTTTGCGATCTTTTCATTTATATAGCTAAAACTATCTCAAAATGGTACCCTTTGGGGAAAGGCCTCAGTCTGTCTCAGGCATCAATGACTGTGCATGCATGTCCCACAGGGTGTGAGGCTCTAAGGGGATTTAAGAGCTTGCAATCACCCAGACATTCCTCATTTTTGTCTGAGGTACCACATGGGCACCCCATTTGGCCTTCCTGCTCAGCCCCATGGCATCCACTCTCTCCCAGCAGCAGAGCTTTAAAACATGATCAAGTCACCACCCTGTCTACAACTATTGAAAGGTGTCTCACAAACACTTCAGTGTGGCTTAGGAAGGTGGCTCCATGACATAGCTCATGCCTCATCATTTCTCCCTGAACCTCGACCCAACTGATCTCTAATAACTCCACAAGGAACCCTTGTACTCTCCCAGGTCTCTGAGCCTTGGCATATGCTGTTCCCTGTTTTGCTTGGCTTACTCTTACAGGCTTCCTGATCCCACTTAACTCCACCAACCCTCCTTAGGGTGGTGGGTCCTAGGCCACTTTTATCATCTCCCCTCACTGTGTTACTGGTCACTTAGCTGGCTCCCAGATGTTTGTGGTCTGAAAGAACCACTTACACATGACACCAATTACATTAATTTACATTTAGTTGCTTGGAACAGACTCAAGTGTTCTTTTCATGTAATTAAAACTTTCCTCTAAAGGAAACATTGCAAAATTTATTTCAGTCAATCTCCAGTCTAAAGACGAGAAATTACTAATGAGGTTTTACACCATTTTCAGTCTGGAGATGAGAAAGTTTGGTATAGTTCTGGGGCAGTGTAGAATGAAGGAGAAGACCATTTTTACTGTTAGAAGTGGCAGACAGCTCTGAGTAACTCTGTGGCTGTGAGTGTGTATGTTGGGGGGAGGTGGGTGGTGACATGATGCCAGTACAAATCCAGTGCTAGTCACCCACAGGAGGAGGAGACAGGCAGGGAAACCACTTGTCCCAGTTTTCCTGGGACAGGCTGGTTTATGCCTCTTGGCCCTGTATGATTAATTAACTGCATCCCCTTTCACTCTCAAATGTCCCTTCTTAAACAATACATTTTATGATCATCCTAAGTGTAGTCCCAGCTTCCCCCAAACAGGCTCCACTCTTCAAGGCCCAGATGGGCTGCTCCTACCTTCCCCAGCCTGTCAAATAACAGCTTCCGCTCCACGTGACATGGTGTCATTCTGCATGCCTGCCATGAGCAGGAAGTTACTACATATTTTAAGACAAGCTCTTGAGAAACTTCTGAAAGAAAGGAGACCCCATTCCACTGGGGATGGTAAAGTAACTTTACCACTCACTGTTGTATGTCTTTGGGTAAATGTTCTTAAGTAAACCAGGCAAAATTTGAAACAAAATTTAACTCTCAAAGACACGGAAATTGCAGAAGATGGCAATGCACTAGGAATTGTACGTTTCTTTAGAGGGGAATGTGATAGTTACTCTTTAGGTCTCTATTAAACTAGACTGTTGGTACCGTACCGGTTAGTGTTCAGCAAATAAACCACATGAAACCATCCTATGCACTTCATCTTACCTGGGGTATACCTGGCGTCAGAATTTCCCCATCCTCCACCTACACGAAGGGGAGAATTATCCCACGTAGACAAGGGTGGCTTCTGACCAGTCAGTCCCGGAGGTGGGCGGGACGGAGCAGTGATGTTTTTAGGTGGCAAAGGGACCTTCCACAGCTCATGAGCCAGAGAGGTGTTTGTAACTGAACCAGGAGACCATGTCAATTTGGAATCACTATTTCTGGCTACTCAAAGGAAAAAAAAAAGTAGGGGAGGGGGGAGATAATGCTTTTAGAGAAGAGAAAATTTAAATAATGATAACACCCATTAGCCCACCAAAAGCAACTCAAACAAAAAGAAACTCTATTAAAAACCCCAAATCAAACTAAACTGCCATAAAAGAAAAACAAAAAGCCAAAAGAAAACTGCTCTGTCGCCTCAAAACACTCAGATCATTTCCGTTATTAAGAGTTTGAAGACCTATGAAATTCTTAGTCCAGCGTACAAAACTACACTTTAACTGAAATCAAAACAAAACACAAACCGCTGCTCTAAAACAGCGACTGGGAACTCCTTAATAACCACAGATTGAGTCACTCAAGATTGTCACACAGGCCATTAAAGAGATTTTAGAACTTTGTTGTTTACTCATGGAAAAAAGGCCCTCAAAAGTAGCTCCTCCCCCTCAGGGAGTCATCACAGCACACTCACTGGGCACCTCTCTGTGCTGAGCGCTGGGCTGCCGGGCGCACCATCCCTAATCCCGACACACACTCCACTGAGGAGCAGAGGTTACGCAACCTGCCTATCAGTCCAGGGCACAGCCAGGAACCTAGGCCTGTCCAGCTTTAAAAAAAAAGCAAGCAAGCTCTTTTCCTGATGCATGCTGCCTCATGGCAACGGGGGTGTGCAGGGATCAGGCACACAGTCAACTACGTCAAAATAATGCTAAAAACATGAGGGGGCAGAAGGAGATGGAAAATTGTATGACTTCTGTCACTGTCAACTATTTTTCTACTTGCTTCATAAAGTGCATGTCCTTTAAATCAGCGTGACTCCAAGTGTGGTCGCAAGACTGGTCACAACACAGTTTACTAGTGGTCCGTGACAGAATGAGTACAGAAATTCAGAGGAGCACTTGTAAACTGTGACAGCAATTTGACATCACCATAACTCCCAAGTGTGTAATCATTTTTCTAGCAATTCTAAGTTTACTGTATTTTACAAAAGCATGAGTTTGCAAAGGATTGGAAATTTAAAAAGTAACAGGTCCTGCACTGCAGACAGTTTGAGAACTGCTTTGGATTAAATTACATTTAATTACAGAGCTGAGATGGCTCTCAGATGACAGTGAGAGCTGTTCAGTGAAAGCTGATTATTTTAGTAAATCACTGCTGGATAGAGTCAATTTTAAAAAAGGGACAAGTGGTGTTAAAAATATTTTCCCAGGCTCAGAAATACATTCTCCTACCTCCCTGAAAATAAGACTTTAGATAAAAAGAAGGATCGAAAACCCCAGGCCCAGCCCCAGGTTCCGACTCCAACCCTCCTCTGACAAGGCCCACCTGAAGTGCTTTGTGCTGTACTGCTGAGGGGAACGTTGTAGTTGGAGGCACGAATGGATGACCAGGCACTAGTTGAAGGCAGCGTGGTGTTCAAGGATGAGGATGACCCTATGTGGGGGAAGAGTCCAATTAGTCGTCCCCAGAGTAAGGGACGTGGAGTTTAAGAACAAGCAAAAGCATCCAGTGAGACTGCAACAGTACGCCATGAGAAAGGAAACAGGTAGGCTCAGGGTCACAGACGGTGCCCAAGACTGCATCTGCCTTCTCACCTTCAAAACAGCACGCTGAGAGCTTGTTCAGTGTTTTTACTGTGGCTCAGATGAAGTACTTCCCGCCCAGCCCTGTCTGTGAGAATATACTCCAACAATGAGACACACACCCCCGAGACAACACCTGGCTCTATCTCCCAGTATAGGACTCCAAAAGAGGGATAATTCTTACTGCTCCCTACTCCTGTCTCTGAACTCCAGTGACTTATTAGACAAGTTCACCAAGGCACCTTGGCACTGACACGACAGTCAGCCAGGCCTTCATCTTTCTCCATCATGCCCCATATTCACTCTCCAAAACCTAGCCTTTCTCCCCACCCCCACTTTTTTTTTTTTGCTGAGGAAGATTCGCCTTGAGCTAACATCTGTTGCCAATCTTCCTCTTTTTGTATGTGAGCTGCCATCACAACACGGCCACTGACAGATGAGTGGTATAGCTCCGTGCCCCGGAACTGAACCTGGGCCGCTGAAGCAGAGCATGCCAAACTTAACCATTAGGCCACCAGGGCTGGCCCTCTCCTTATTTTTTAAAAATCCTCTTGACCACTACTCTAGTTTAGCTCCAGACTCAACCATTATCTGGATCACTCCAATAGCTCCTAACTGGCCTCCCACTCCAATCCATCTGCTCACCACTGTCAGATCACCCCACCTTAAACGTCGATTCTTCCACCCAAAACCTTCAATGGTTTATTTCTCCTAATATCAAATCTAAACTCCTCTCCTGACTTTCAGAATCTTCTACAAATAGGAAGCAGCCCTTGTTTCTGCAAGCCGCCAGATTCTTTCACTAATTACCAGGCATGACGTATTAGGCGTGGCTCTGTCCCCCCTCCTTTCTCCTGGGAAATTAGTGGCTTTAACTACTGCTACACAGTTGTCTGTTAAATTCAGTCAGTTTAGAATGATGAGGATTCTTTTCTCACCATTGTGATATGGCAAACATCTGTTAACAAATTACATATCTAATGTAAAATGCTGACTGTTTTACATTTTATTATAAACTGTTTAAAGGGATAGATGAGAGGATCTAAGTTATAGAAACAGAGAAAATATTTCATTCACCTTTGCATGAAATACTTGTAAATGCCTGGGGTTAAAAATAACCATGTGGTAGGTAGTAGAATGATTTTATTTAACCCATTAAAAAGTGCATCAGGACTGTAGGGACCCTTAAATTGGTCTTATTTTCACTCTGAGAGACAAAGAAAGCCAAACTGCTTCTCCAGATGAAGAAACTAGTTATAAAATAGGTAACAACCTTTGGTTGTTAATACAATTACTGGAAAGCAAATGTTTGTGTTAGCTTACTAAGTTAATATACGTGTTTACCATATCAAGTGATAATAAATCCTCATTTTAAAAGTGGCTGAAGAGTCACCTATTGGAAAACTGAGAATTGAACTGTTTTCATTGCCGTGATGCCCTTGGACGTCAGGGGCTGTGATGTGCTGGAGTGACTTCTGCTGTTGAAAGGTTCACATCTACTTTGAGGGATTCTTTTCATTTATTTATTTTTGTGAGGAAGATCAGCCCTGAGCTAAAATCCAGTGCCAATCCTCCTCTTTTTTTTTTTTTTTTTTTCACAGCATGGCTTGACAAGCAGTGTATTGGTGCGTGCCTCAGATTCGAACTTGCGAACGCCAGGCCGCTGAAGCGGAGCGTGAGCACTTAACCGCTTGCGCCACCGGGCCGGCCCCTACTTTGAGCCATTCTTAAAGCATGTTGTCCACCACCATTCAGAAATTCTGACTTGTACCCGCCTACATACCACTGTTCCTGTCCCTGAGGTGGTCAACTTCCCGCACAGTATTAATTGAAAGATTGTTTATGACACTGCCAGGAGTGACGTAAGGGTCAGTTTCAGGGTCAATGTTTGGATAACCTTTCCATGGTTCACCAGGGCGAAATTCTGGAAATAAAAACTTAGAATTAGTTCATGCTTAACTATCTTCTTTTTCTTTTTCCCTCCCCAAAGCCCCAGTACATAGTTGTATATTCTAGTTTTAAGTCCTAGTTCTTCTATGTGAGCCACTGCCACAGCATGACACCTGACAGACCAATGGTGTGGGTCCACAACCGGGAAACAAACCTGGGCCACCAAAGCAGTGAGAGCACCAAACTTTTAACCACTAGGCCATCAGGGCTGGCTCTTAATTATCATTTAAAAATCCGTTACTAAATAGCCAAAACTTTTATTCCTAAAGTCTATGTAATTCTCAAGTATTTTCCAAAGTACCCTAAGAGGCTGATTTGGTAATACAGTTAGTATAATATAAGCTGTTATTTATGAATAACTTGCAAGTTTTTGCAACTGAATCATTTCTCTGGGTTTACATATTTTTACACAGTAATATTTCAAAGCACTCTAATACAAATCACAAAGACATAACAACCCCAACAGGACAAAGCAGGCCATAGGTACATTTCTGGTGATTCCTCAGTACAAATGAAATACTGTCAAGTTAGTCCCCTGACACAGCTGAAGAGGAACAATGACTGAAGGTTTTTATATTCTTCTTCATGCCCGTCAGTGGCACTAATCCCATCTTCACTGCTTGGAGCACAAAGGCACTGGTAACAGGCCAGACACATTCGTCTGCCCAGGATGATGCTCAACTTTTCATCTGGCATTTCTGCATTCTTTCTTATCCTTAGCATAGTTCAGTCCAATCAGGCAGAATTAATACATCCAGAGGTAACAAAATCTTTTTTTTTTTTTTTTTAAAGATTTTTTTATTTATTTATTTTTTTTCCCCCCAAAGCCCCAGTGGATAGTTGTGTGTCGTAGCTGCACATCCTTCTAGTTGCTGTATGTGGGACTCGGCCTCAGGATGAACGGAGAAGTGGTGCCTCGATGCGCACCCGGGATCCGAACCCGGGCCACCAGCATCGCAGCGCGCGCACTTAACCACCAAGCCACAGGGCCGGCCCAGTAACAAAATCTTAACAGAAACAAATCCTCACGAAAAAAGCTGTTAGTTTTTTACCTGGTGGCCAATTAACACTGCTAGAGCCGTTAGGCGATTTGGCACGTGGCCAGCCATCTCCTATTGAACCTGGAGGACTGGCTGGTGAAGTACTGCTATTCATAAAGTCATAGGGAACAAATGGAGACTCTTCCAGCCTGAAACCACTTGAAATAGCACCTAAAAAGAGAAAAATGATAGTGAAATGTGAGCAAAATATACCACTGAATTTATTTCTTGTAGTTTCTCGAATATAACAAAAAAGCTTTCTATGAGATCTGTGGGTTTCAAACTGTGTTCTAGAGATTACACGAAAATGCAAGGAGAAAAGAAAACTCTGTGCTCTCTTCCAGACTTCAACCACTTTTAACTCTCATATATTGAGATACGAAAATTATCACAGTGGATTTTATTTCAAGAAGGACATAAGGACCATAACCATCAATAAGTGACCAGGAGTACAAAATTATATCCAAATCATTAAAACACTTGTATTTGGGCCTGAGACCAAGCCTAGTGAACTCTTTGTGGGGGAGATTCATGGTTGGGGGTGGGGGTGAATGACGAGCACTAGAGGAAAGAAAAATGACTGCAGCAAAGAAAAAACTGTGGACAAGAAGATCATGAGTGGCAAAGAGGTGCGTCTGAGACTCCAGAAAATTGCTATGCCCACAATACATATGTAATGAAAACAAATGAATATCCTTTTCTATCAGGATGTTTATATTTCTACCCTATACTCCACCCCCTTGTGATTATACAGCATCAGTAAAGATATTTGTTACTAAAATGAGTGTGAAATTCCATAAAAACACAACCTACTCTCATTTAGAAATGATCATTTGGGGCCGGCCCCGTGGCTTAGTGGTTAAGCGCGCACGCTCTGCTAGTGGCAGCCCGGGTTCAGATCCCGGGCACGCACGGATGCACCGCTTCTCTGGCCATGCTGCGGCCGTGTCCCACATATAGCAACTAGAAGGATGTGCAACTACGACATACAACTAACTACTGGGGCTTTGGGGGAAAAAAGGAGGATTGGCAATAGATGTTGGCTCAGAGCCGGTCTTCCTCAGCAAAAAGAGGAGGATTAGCATGATGTTAGCTCAGGGCTGATCTTCCTCACAAAAAAAGAAAAAAGAAATGATCATTTGTTTTCTTGTATTATTCTCCACATGCATCTTTGAACACATCTTAAAATGACTAATGCTTTACACAAGAGGCAAAACACGTCATTCTATCATTGGAACAGTGCCAGCCACTGTGCTAAATGCTGGACATAGAAGGGTGAGTAGGATGAATGGGGTCCTTACCCTCAATGACAGTATATTCAAACAAAAAGCCAAGTAAACCGACAGAGAACAAGAGAGTGTGTGGCAAGGAGAGGGCAGGGCTGCCATGTAAAAAGCTGGGAGTGGAAATTCGAGGCAGTGCGTACAGCCTCCACAAACACCTGAGGAGAAAGACAGCTTGGCACATTTAAGGAACCAAGAGACCATTCTGTCTGAAAAATAAGTGGGAAAGTGAGCAACATGAAGGAGTGGGGAATTCAAAGGCCCTGAGGTGGGACGTGCACACTGTAGCTGCCCCAGGCCCTACCACTCCACACTGCCTAGGCCCTGCCTCTTCCCTGAAGGGATCAGAATTTGCAACAGCCTCATGCAGGGCTTTTGTAGGATGCAGTAAGGAGTTCTTTATATTGAAGGGTTTTAAGAAGAGAAGTAATGCAATCTGATGTGTTTTGAGTTGTTGCAGTGTGGAAAATGGAAGGCAGGCAGGAATCGAAGCAGGCAGACCATTAGGAGGCTGTTAAGACAGTGAGACACAATGGATGCATAAACTATGCATTCAGGAAGTAGAATGGGCACTGTTCACAGATGGACTGGATGTGGAGGTTGGAAAAAGGAAAAAAATCAAGAATATCTCTTAGACCCAAATATCCATCAACTGATGAATGGATAAACAAAATGTGCTGTTATCCAGTACAACTACAAAAAGGAATGAAATACTTATGCATGCTACAACATGGATGGACCTGGAAAACACTACGCTAAGCCAAAAACGTCAGTCACAAAGGACCAGATACTAAATGCTTCCACTTATATGAAATGTCCCATATAGACAAATCTATAGAAAACAGAAAAATTAGTTTTTAATTATGACTGGGAGAGATGGGAAACTAGAGCGGGAGGAGTGACACCTAAGGGGTTCTTCTGAGGTAAGGAAAATGTTCAAAAATTGATTGTGGTGATGGATACATAACTCTGAGAATATACTAAAAGCCACTGAATTATATACTTTAAAGGAGGAATTATATGTAAAGGAATTACATGTTTATAAAGAAGAACATCTCAAGGTTCTAGCTTCACTAACTTGATAGAAGGAAGTACAAGTTACTAAAATGAGGAGGAGCGAGGGTGAAGAAAGGAAAATCAAGTATCTTGTCCTCTCATGTTGTCTGAAATAGATGCAAAGAAAAGCCCTGGCTCATGGACTCAAGGCTGCTCTAGTTATGAGCTTCTGGTACTGCAGAGCCGAGCCCTGAATGTCGCGTTAGCCTCCTTCATTCCGTGACAAAGGTTCCCCTGATGGCAGCTGACAACATCCAAGCTTCTCTCTCAGTTTCTTAGCGATGGCAGAGCTGAAGCCCACAGCCCACTCAGTAGTGGGCACTAACCTACACCTGAGTGGATTTAGTCACCCCACCAATTCCATTTCCCCTCTTTTCTGGCTTCCTCATCTAGTGACTTCTATCTGAGTGAATTACCTATCTTTTTTGTAAGCTGCATTTAAACCACTTGGGAGTGAAGTGGGATATAAACCAAGTAGAAGCTGCAAGTCATATAGTTAAGTAAGGAGGGGTGCCAAATTTCAAGTGATTAAATCTTACGCAAGAACCTGAGATGATAAAAGTATTCCTTTTTTTAGTAAGAAATAATTTCTACTTATTAAAACTTCATTTTATTAAAAAGGAAAACAGGGGTCGGCCTGGCGGCGTAGTGGTTAATTTTAGGTTCGTGCGTTCTGCTTTGGCAGCCTGGGGTTCGCCAGTTCGAATCCTGCGCACAGACCTACTTACCACTCATCAAGCCATGCTGAGGTGGCATCCCATATAAAAGTGCCACAATTCTACAACTATGAAACACAACTATGTACTGGGGCTTTGGGGAGAAAAAAGAGAGAGAGAGAAAAAAAAATGGAAGATTGACAACAGATGTTAGTGCAGGGACAATCTTCCTCAAAAAAAAAAAAAAAGGAAAATGACATAAAAGGTAGCTACGGTCCAATTATATTCTATTAATCACTGCATGAGAACATCAGAAAACTGAAATGTAAAATTCATATGGTAGGTTTAGTTTAAGCAAATAGAGCTGGATTTACACTGGAGAAATGGTGTTGCTTAGAGGTAAGGCATCTCAGGAGATAACTATGAAGGCAATAACAATAATGAAGGCTGAGAACTACTGACCACTTACGGGTCTGATCCTGTTCTAGTGTTTACATGTCTCAGAGGTATTGCCTTATTCATCCTCAAAACATCGTATTATTCTCACGAGGGACCTGAAGTTCAGAAAGGTTAAGTTACTTGCCAGTGGCTAATACGTAGCAGAGCTAATTAGCCGCAGAGCTAGGTTTCAAATCCAGGGTCCACATTTATTTTGCCATGTTGCCATCACCTCAACTCCCATTCCCATTCTTAAGAAAAATTTCAAATGTAATAGACCATTGAGTGGCAAATGCAATTTACAATTCAAGTCTGTTTGATTTAGGGTCCAATGTTCCTTCTACTACATGACAATTTCACCTTCAATTTCTGATCATTATCAGTCCAATGAGTACAAACTAGCAAACTGACCTTTAAGCCAAGTTTAGTCCAAGTTGCAAGATACAATCCAATGGAAAGGAATGAATGTCATAAAAATGTGCTTCTAATACTAATCAGAGGAACATAGATTGGATATTGCTAAAGTTAGAAAACAGAGTCTCTCCTGGCTCCTCCCTCTCCATTATCTCAAAATCACTAAGTCCTGTCAATTATGCTTCCTATATAGCTTTTATTTTTCTTTTTGCAATTGCAAAGATTTCTGAGTTATTTTGTTTGGATTCCTAGTATACAGCATAGAGTTGGATTTTGCTTTATGATTCAATCTGAATTTCTATTATTTTAATAAATTAGTTTGCCCATTTATATTTATCAAATTGACATATATTTGGGCTTAGTTCTCTCATATTATTTTATGTGATGCCTTCTACTTTACAGATTCTTTAAAAACTCTGAAAATGTGGAATTTGTTTTTGTGTGTGTGTGTGTGTGTGTGTGAGGAAGATTAGCTCTGAGCTAACATCCGATGCCAATCTCCTCTTTTTGCTGTGGAAGACTGGCCCTGGGCTAACATCCGTGCCCATATTCCTCTACTTTATATGGGATGCCGCCACAGCATGGCTTGACAAGTGGTGCATCGGTGCACACCTAGAATCCAAACCCACGAACCCTGGGCCACCGAAGCAGAGAGTGCGCACTTAACCGTTATGCCACCAGGCCAGCCCCTTGGAATTTGTTATTATTTTTTCTGAAAATGTGGAAGGCTTATATTTTTGTTTTAGTGGGTGTCTTTATAATTTATGTTATATATTTACTATTCATTTCTTTAAAAATTTTTTAAATTGAGATATAATTAACATATAACATTATATTAGTTTTAACTATACAACATAATGATTCTATATTTGGACAAACTGTGAAATGATCACACAGCTCTCAAATAATGACTACACTAGGTCAGGCCACTGGCATCTTTTGTTTCGCTAAGCTTTGGGTCAGGCAGAGAAGTTTCCCAACTGATCTCTCTGTCCACCTCTACTCCCCAGTTCTCCATGCTGCAGCCAGAGTACTCTTTCAAAAATGCAAATCTGATCATGTCACTTCCTAGCTTAAAACAGTTCTCCTTTACAGAGGGAGTAAAATTCAAACTCTTCAATAGTTTATAAGGCTCTTAAAATTCTAGCCTCCACCCCCCCTCATGGTTTTTCTCTCCCTTCACCTCTGCCTAGCTAACTCCTGTTTATCTTTCATATCTCAGCTTAAGACATCACAGGCTTCTTGGGAAGCATTTCCCAACTGCCCTCAACCTCAAGGCATCCTTCCATGTATGTGCCCCTCCCCAGAACACTGTAATTTTCTC